TGGTAGTGTTTCCAGCCGCAGGTGTGTCGAGTTTCCCTTTGTATACACACCCTGGCTTTTCATATGAAGACTAGAAAATGCACTTTGTGAGTCATAAAGTGACTTCAGTAAACACGCAGTGAGGCTTGAAGAGGACTTCTATATATGCAATTTACCAAGAAACCCTAAGGATGCTGGTCTGGAAGGAGGTGGAGCTGAAATTATTAATTCGATTAGATTAGATTAATCTATTAGTAAAGTGACAGAAAATTAATCTGCAAAAAATTTGATGTTTGTTTTTATTAATCTAGTAAATTTCTCAACTTTTCCACATTAAAATATCAAAAAAAATGACTAGACCTATCCTATATATTTTTTTGTGTTGTGCACTTGCACGTACTTAAATGATCCCATATGTGTCCAGCACGTCTCAAACCTACAAAAATTCATGATTTTAATCAAGGTAAAGGTCAGTTTCATTTGGTTGGCTGTCAAAGATGTTATATCCCCTGCATGCGTCAGTGTTGTTGTTGCCTATCAGAAGCTCAAAATGGACTTTTATCCAGTTTAAAGTCACATTTTTAAGATACACTTTTTACACCTTCGTTGCTTGTTTTTTAACCAGATGAAAGGTTTTCCTCATTGGATGTCTGGATCTTTAGTTATTGGAGAAAAAACCAAGCAAACGGTTGGCAGCTCAGCTCCCAGCCCCTTCGAGATGTCCTGTGTCTGCCAGAAAGCATTGGTGAATCACAGATTATTAAAGTGAAACTACTTTATTCTGTGTTTCTACTGGTTTTAATCCCCTGGTCCATTTGTTATGGAGAGGAGGACACCTCTGCAGATAATTCGGCTGCTGGTAAAAACTTCCTGAATGTCTGGATCATAAATTATCAGAGAGAAACAATCGACACAAAGGTTAGCAGTAATCTCAGCTCCCAACCCTTCCCTGATATCTTGTGTCCGGCGTATAGCATCAGTGAAACACTCAGTACTAATGTGAAACTGCTTTATTCAGTGCTTTTAATGGTTATAATCACCGGGTCTGTTTGCTGTGGAGAGGAGGAGACCTCTGTGGATAATTCAGCTCCAGGCTACTTCATGACAAAACGGCATCTTTTGTTATTGTTTTGATTGAGAGACCCCAAGAGGCAGAAGGTACAGTCTGTGCCTTGAATTCATTTATGAAGCAAAAATACCAAACACGTTGAAGAAGAACAAGAATTTGTGTATTTTTCACTATATTACTCTTGAGACTAAACGGCTACTTGAAAAAAATTATTGATAGACTAATAAAAGATTGAATATAATTGTTAGTCGCTGCCCTCGATGATGAATGACCATTCTGTTATTCCACTTAATGAACATGAGCTGCAATTAGTTAAGTCATGCAGAAGGTCATCGGTGCCGTTGGTGCTTCCAAGTCACTTTACATGTTCATTTGCATCATACAAATCACAGCAGGTGAACAACAAAAGCCCACACTGCTTCAGTCAGTCAGCCAGCGCTACAAAAACAAGTTCATCATCACAGTGAGCTCAGTGGATTTTTTATTGGGGATAAATTGATTTTAAAAAGCAGCACCATTAAACTGCTTCTGCCACAGCTGAGACCAGGCAGTCGGGCAGAGAGGAGTGTAAACACGTGCTGAAGAGCAGAAGGCAGAACGTCATCATCATCATCATCATCATCATCAGCGTCCTTCCATGGAAAGCTGTTAATGATCTCATGGTAGGATTTGATCCACATGCGCAGGCAAACCGACTAATTAAACAAACAAAACAACCCGGCAATTAGATGGAGCTCCCATAAACTGCAGAACAACTGGGCCAGTGGAGTAGACAACACAACACAGCACACAACTGCTGCACTGCTACACTGCTGTGTTTTATTAGTCATGACATTTTGGGAAATACACTTATTCTCTGTTTTGTTAGCATTAGACGAGAACATTGATACCAAGAGCAGCCACTTATCCAGCCATCAAAGCTAATTTAGCTTAGCACAAAGACTGGAAACAGGAGGAAACGGCTAACCTGGCTAACAGCCTAGCAAGACGTCTGAAGCTCACTGAATAGCAAGTTTTATCTTGTTTGTTTAATCTGTACAAACACACAAGTGTAAGAAACACCAATTCACAGTTTTATGGGTACATTATTGGCTTGGATCATATTGTTTCCTTTGGACAGAGCCAGACTGGCTCTTACAGTATTTATGCTAAGATGATTTGCTGGTGGTAGTTTCATACTTAGTGTACATATATGTGAGTGGGAGCGTGTCTATGTTCCCACAGCCCTATATTCCCCTTTTATACCCTTTCAGAACGCTTTGCATCCACGTTCCACGGCGTCTTCACATTTATCCACCTCAGCGATCGTTTTTGTAAAGCATCGTTTTCAGTTACGGAATTCACCGTTCTAATGTGGACGGAAGGGCTAACCGGATAAATATTACCCGGGTTAGTGTGGACATGGGCTTATGGGAACATATAAGACTGGGAAAATAGGGCCTAATTTTCAAAACATTCTTAGAAATGTGGGAACATAGGGCTGTGGGAACATAGGGCTGACCCCATGTGAGTGATATCATCTAACTCTAAAATATTGTATTAATTGACATACTGAACAGTATCTTAACAAGCTGTAGCAACTGGAAGTTTACACCAAGATGGCTTTTGCTGTAATGATAACTGTAGCCATTAAATTTATTGTAGCTAATCAAGCTAATTTTGTTTGTCTTGTTAAAATGCTCTTTCTACTGTTGCCTGTATCTTCACTCAGTGATGGTTTGTGGGAGAAGAAACACCGCCTCTGTATCATTTTAGATGTTTTAGTTAATATGGAGCAGGCTGTGTCTGTACTGGGCTGTTACGAGTGTCTGAATCTCCCAGTTATACTTTTAAACACACCTAATCAATGCTTGAAGAGTATCACATTAAAAACTCCACAGTGTATTGAGACCTACAGGATTAAGAGCTGTGAAGCTAGCGTAACAGTGTGAGGGATTCAATTCATCTAATTAGTTTAATTAAATTTCAATTAATCATTTGGTCTACACATTTTCCCACACACCAAGATGATGTCTGCATACGTCTTGTTTTACTGGAACCAAATGACATTTTTACTATACTTTATTGTATAGCGTATATACTTTTCTGCTTTATTTAAAAAAAACCTTTATCGCTTATCAAAATAGTGGCTTTTTATTTTTCTGTTGATGAGCTAATCAATAAATTGACTAATTGTTTCAGCGCTAAACACTGTTGTTAGGGAACATCAGTCAGATCTCAGTCATTTGAGATGTTTGTCATTATTACCCATAACTCAACTGGCTAATTATCAGTAAAAAGAATGACACTGTCAATCTCACGAAAATAAAAATAAAATCAAGATTATATATTTTCCTCAGCTCATTCAGCTCTAATTTGTAGCTAGTGAAAGCCTCAGTCGTTTGAACTTCAGGTTGTGGAAGAGGTAGAAGGTGTAATTATCAACCTGTGAGACGCTGGCCTCCCACTGTGATTTGGCTCACTGATGACTCTGCAGGCCGGCCATGTAGATAACAATCTATCAGAGCATCACACCACCATCTGCAGGGACACAGAGTGGCTCTTGTGTTTGGTAGGAGCACTCAGGGAAATGCCATCAACCCAGAACTCGGTGACATTTCCTGAGGTACGGCTTAGAGATTGCCCTTCACTGCAAAATTTCCCATTCCCAAACAGCATCGCCTACGTCTGCGCGGCTCGTGACCTCTCAGGGAATGACCCAGAGACACGCTGTGCATAAGAGAGAAAACAATTGTGGGACCTTTTTGAATAATACTAAAAGAATGTGAGTGAAAGCGTTTGGGAACAGACTGGCCCCAGGTCAGCGTGTCGTAGCTGTGTCTGCCAGCTCCTTTTTATTCCTCTCCCATTCTTTTGCTTGTCGTCCCCCCCCCCCCCACCCCCCCCCACCCCTGAGACTCAGACCCTCTCATTTTTCTTAAAGATTCATAGCTTAGCTGCTGAGCTGTTCTGTCATGGTTGTAGTGTTACATGCTTTATTAGATGGCTAAGTCCGTAGCAGTAATGTAGTCAGTCATGCTGCCCATACACAGGCAGTGAGGTCTTTGCTACGTGTGCCGGCCTGTGGGTGGGTGGGAGGATCTTCGGGGACCGAAGCTGCAGGAGAGGAGCAGCTGTGACGACATTTACAGTCTGACACTGTGTCTTTATATTTCCTACTACTACTTTCTTATCTTTTCTGCTCTTTTCCCTGCTCTTTTCTGGAGCAGTGTTATTTTTTTTGTCCTCCTCTCTCTGAGGAGTTACCAGCTGTATAGTGTTTTAGTGGTTGGCAGGATCCATGACCTAGTTAAATATGGACTGAGAACAGGAAACTGAAGAGGAATGAATGGCAAATGGGAGCTCGACTCGCTTTTTTTTTTTTTTTTTTTTTTTGCAGGGGCTCTTTCTGGTCCCGCCTCTGCTTGTCCTTTGAATGCTTTAAAGCTCTTTTACTCTGGCCTCCCATATTGATCAGTGCTTTTTCCAGCCCTTCTTCTTTTTTAAATCCTTGCTGTGTCAGTACCTCCGGGACAGACAAATGGACTATAATAGAGGGGTTTGACTCTGCAAGTGAGAGCACAGAGAGAGTCGGTGTAGCTTTTTGTTTTTAGGACAACCAATTAGCACAAATATTGGTTGTGCCATTAATTGCTATGCAGGAATAGAAATAGCATTTAACACCTTCATTCTTCATTTCATTCTCTCTCAGCTGCCAGTCTCTCAGCTGAAAAGCTTCTGAGGTGTCCCCTTCCTGCCCACTCTCTCTGCACTGGTCATCCTTAGTTGCCTCTTTAATAGCTCAGCACTGTCTGATTTTTTTGTCATGTGGATTCTACTGAAGTAGAAATTCACAGGACACAGTGATACGTTCCCCCCATGAGCAACCGCAGACCATTGAAGGGGAGACAGCGGGGTGATTTATTTGCTCCTTGCGACACCGCCGCCTGACATCTCCTCCTCCTTCTGGCAGGTGTAATGAGAGCGCTGGTCATGGACAGATGATGGACGTGGAGACGTCGTACTCGGACTTCATCAACTGTGATCGCACAGGCCGCAGGAACGCAGTGCCCGACATCTCGGGGGAGGGGACAGTAGCGGCCAGCACCAGTGAACTCACCAAAGACCTGGCAGAGATGGATCTGAAGGCTGCAGGTCAGTAAACTCACCTCTGAATACATGTGTAATAATAATAATAATGTGTAAAAACAGATATGCAGACATCTAGACATTTCATTACCATAGTCAAAAGACCAGGGGCCAATGTCACAAAGATATTTTAAACTTGTCTGTTGTGTTAGACCATTCTTACCTTTGCTCCTGGATTAGTCTGATGCAGGTTACACAGTTTAAAAGTTGAGACTTGTAAGAAAATGTTTTTAGTTTTGAAATCTGTTAGTGCTTCAGTTCTGTGACTCATAGTGAAATCCTCCAAAATTGATGAGGGAGTTCAAGTGGATTATTCAGATATTATCTCCCACCACCGCTTGTACTTTATGGCTAGTGATGAACTGTTATTTACCCCAAAATATAAAAACAAAAACATTCAGCCACCCTACCACCAGGCTGAGACCCATGGTTCCATGTTAACAAATCCATGAAACCTGCTGACTAGTGGCAAAAGGAAGAAGGCTTGGGCTGATAGTATCAAATGTTGCAATATTTCCCTATATGTTCAAAAGCATAAGCACTGAGCTCTGCTACAAGAATGCAGGTCATTACACTACATTGAGATTTTATGCTACTGGAAGTTTCTTTGTATTGTTACATTGTTCGCTGTTTTTTCCAGTAAAATGTCCGTGTAATTGTTGAATTCCCCTAGAAGGACTACTTTTTCTGCTGACGTGAACAGAGCTGAGTGGTTTGACGCAATTACTTGATTTGAGTAGTCCTAATTTACCCAGAATTCATGGCAGATTGGGCCTCCCGAAGATAGTCAAGAACGAGACGGCTTTGTGCAATGGATGAATTGAGACGTCTTTCTGAAGTCTGAGTTTGGTCTAAGCTGGAGTCAAAGTCTATCTTTGAGAAACCAGCCCCTGGACCTGAAGGCACCAAAATATGAAAACACAGACAAGTGGTGTTGCTCAGATTGTGGTCTCAGTGAGACTGGATTTTGTTCCCTCAGCGCTAAACGAGCCATAATGGCAGAACAATGACAGATAGTCTTTGCTTCCTATACTCTCAGTCGAGTGTCAAGTTGTTAGGATCAACATGTCTGAATATGACGCACATGTTTCCCAGTCTAACCATTGTGTGTTACATCGTTGTTCTTGCTGACTTCCTTCTCAGTCAAAGCACAAGTTTCCCATGACATGCTAACCAATTTGACTGCAATAAATCAAGCTACTCCTAACTCTGGTCTGGTGGGAAACCTCAGATTTAGAAATAATCTCATATCATGCTGACACTGTGTTGCTACAGGAAGTTGTAGTTCCTTCCTCAGGATTCTCATTATTTGTTTCTTTCAAAGAGCCTGAAGGCAGATTTATTCCCTGCTGTTGGGAATGCCAAAACTATCGTTGACTGATTTTTGTGCATATTTTTTCCCATGTTTTCCTCCAGAAGGAGATGCGGGGGCCTCCCCAGCCCCTGAGGCAGAGGGCTCCACCAGCCAAGATGCCCAGGGAAGTGGAGGCCCATCCTAAGCTCACCCAGAGACTGAAGGGGAGGGGGGGGCAGAGCCAAGGAGAGAAGAGTAGAGGAGAGGAAGTAGGTGAAAGTGGAGTAGAGACATGGAGAAAGGAGAGTGTATATTGGTTGTCCTAACTGGACACGAGGACACCTTCGCTCACTGCCAGCCTGTTCGGAGCCTCGGCGGCTCTAAATGTTCGCCTTTTTATTGGATCAGATTGTAACATGAGGAACAGAGTAGAACTGACAGTTGAGACGCTGCGCTTACGCTTCATACTCTGTTAGTCATTTATATTCCTGACGAGACACGAAAGCACAGAAACTTTGGATTCATGCCTGTGGAGATGGACTGAGCTGAACAGAATTCATTTATAACAACACTCGAAACATCGTTCCAGTCTAATATGGAACTGTGTCATGGAGGGCGTATTCATAATCATCTGTTTGTCATTTTCTTTCTATGTATGTGTTTGTGTGTTTGTGACCCTCTTGTCCTATTTCTTTGTCAAGTCTTTTCTTTTTTTCAGTAACATAGTCGTCATTATACTGTCGTGTACGGACTTCATATTTATTGCTAAATGTTCAGTGATAACTTTGTGATAGCAATTTTCTTTATGTAATAAAATACTTATGAATTACTGTAACATTTGTATTTTATATTTTTAAGCATAATTAACTTGACGTGGCATCGTGCAGGCAGGTTTCTGTTTTATTGAACACACACACAGGCACAGGGGCTGCAAAGGTAGTGAGTCCTGGCCAACCAGGATTAATGAGATCAGTGCTGAGTCGTTCCAGAGCCACAAATATTACTGAACGCAGCGTTTGTGTACATTAGGATGGCCACAGGAAGACGGTGTTTACATTTCCACCTCCATTACATTTCCCAGTGTTCCCATTAATCTCTTCAGACAATAAAGAAACAGCAGGGCTGTGTGGATTTTTAGTAATCTTTTTAAGTGCAAGGCCTGAACAAGTTTCCTCTTCATATTCACTTCTTAATATTATCATGCAGATATAGACACTTACAGAGCACTTTATTACATCATACTGATACTGAGTAGTTCCTCCTTTTGATATCAAAACAGCCTCCGTTCTTTGTGGCATTGATTCCACAAGATGTTGGAAACTTTCCTCTGAGACTCTGCTCCATGTTGACATGATTGCATCACATCTTTTCTGCAGATTTATCAGATGCACATTCATGCTGCCAATATCCTGTTCTACCACCTCCCAAAGGTGTTCTGTTGGATTCAGTTCTGGAGACTGGGGAGGTCACTGAAGTTCACTGAACTCATGAAACCAGTTTGAGATGACCTCTGCTTTGTGACATTTCTGCATTATCCTGCTTGAAGTGGCCATTAGAAGATGGTAAACTTTTCACCTCCAGGCCTCATGTCCAGTATCTAGGTTGAGCTGATCAGAATGAATTCCTCATCACATCCAGGTTTTCTGAATTCTCTCCATTTCATCACCACCACCACCACCACCAGTGTCTAGACCCCAGGGGATTTCCTATACTACACACAGCATCTCCCCTCTTTCTAATATGGTGACATCACAGTGGGGTTTAACTGTCAAAGACTCACACATCTCTCACTGTGCACATCTCTCCTGTTCTGCACATGGCAATAAAAGTTTGCTTGCTTCTCCTGATTGAACTGCTGTTGTAGCCCATCCACCTCAACACCTTGGAGGTGTTCTTCACTCAGAAGCTTCTCTGCTCACCACAGTTGTAGTGAGTGGTTATACGAGTTACTGTCGGCTCCAACCAGTCTTGCCATTTTCCTCTGACCTCTCTAATCAACAAGGTGTTTCCATCCGCCGAACTGCTGCTCATGGGATTATTTTGTTTTTGGCTCCATTCTGAATAACAGCTCTAGAGACTGTTGTGTGAAAATCCAGGAGATCTGCAGTTTCAGAAATACTCAAACCAGCCCGTCTGACACCGACAATCATGATCTTAAAGTCACTGAGATCACATTTTTTCCTCATTCTGATGTTTGATGTGAAGATTAACTGAAGTTCCTGACCTGTATCTTCATGCTTTGCAGAGCTGCCACTTGATGGATAATGGCATGAAGAAGCAGGTGCACAGGTGTTAGTTATGAAGTTCTTGATGCTTGATTATCAGCCTAAATAAATAATCTGACACACAGAAACATTTCATAAGAGCTTTTTATTATGGTCATAAATGTTTCTCATAAATGCAAAATTTTCAAAAGAATTGAGAGAGTAATTATCAAATGCAAAACCACACCAGTCACCAGTGGTTTGTCCATAAACAAAATGACAGTAGTCTGCCACCTAGTGTTCAAATATAAGACTAGACTTTTGGTATTGAGCTGACCTGATGTGTCCTGAGGTTTTGCATGTGGTGGGCAACAAGCACTTATGTTTCTGACATTGAATTCCCTGATTTCACTCTTAAACCAAACAATGTATATTTACAGTAAACCATATTTTTCCCTATGGGTCATAAGTTCACAGCTTGCACTGCTTTTATTTATCCTTCACCTCATGCTTTTACCCTTTACCACAAGTGTTGAGCTTACTATAGTATAATGTTTTAGCTATGACAGATGATTCCCAAAGGTTCTCTTATTCTCTTTATGACAACAGGATGTAAACAGTAGATGAACAATGTATCCAGAGTTTTGATATAAAAAATATTTGCTGATGATGCACAGATACGTGAGGTGAAGGCAGCAGCGATAATATAAACAGCATATATGATATTCTGGTACAGGCTTTATATCTGATTACAAATAAGTAAAAACACATTCCCACATATCCGGTGGGGAGATTAAGGGTTCAGAGCAATTTGTCCCTGGATTAGGTCACGTTTTCTCCTCAGATTTCCCCAGCAGGTTTAAAAGGCAGTGCTCTCTGTCATCCCGTAGGCCTCATGCAGTTGCTGGAGGAGCTCTTTCTTCTCCTCCTCAGGCAGGAAGCACGACTCTGCAGACCTGATGTTCTACAAGACACAAGGAGTCAATGAAGAACCATTTTAATGTGCTTTAAGGTAATTAATTCACTTTAAACTAATAGTTTGATGTTATAATTGTGTGTACAATGGCCGGTTATCTTAGCTTAGCACAAAGATTGGAAACGGAGAAACAGCTAGCCTGGCTCTGTCAAAAGGTTAAAATACTCTGTTAGTCAAGCTCGATATTGTCCTCATGTCTGTTAAATATGAAGCTACAGCCAATGGCCGGTTAGCTTAGCTTAGCATAAAGACTGGAAACAGCTGCCCTGACTCCTGTCAAAAGGTTAAAAAATGTGCCTCTCTGCACCTCTAAAGCTCACTAATTAAAGCATTATATCTTGTTTGTTTAATCTGTACAAGACAGTATAAAAACGGCACCATGAGTTTGCAAGGCAATCAGTGGAGACTGAAGGAAGTAACCGCACCCTGACAAGAAATAGTCTGGTACATAAAATCCCCATCATATTGATCTTTAGAAGTCCTGGTGGGCAGATTTTGTTATTTTTGGACAGAGCCATGCTAACTGGCCAGTATTAATGCTAAGCTAAACTAACCTGCTGCAGGCTGTAGCTTCATATTTAACAGACACGAAAGCAGTATCGATCTTCACGTCTAAAACTCTCAAAAAGCAGATTAGCAAATTTCCCAAAATGTCAAACTATTCCTTTAATGATCTTATGCAAACCTGATGAACCTGGATGTAAAGTCTTCACACACTGGCCTTTGAGAGCCCAGTGAAATTCTTCTTTCATGTAAGCTTTTGTTCCCGCTTTAATTAGCAGCAGAGAAAGGCATTGCCCTGATTATTCATGCATTTGATCTCACCAGTCGTTTGAATTCCTCCTCAGTGAATCCCATGTACTTTTGCGCAGTGCTGTAGTCAAGGTGCAGGGTTGAGTTGAAGATCAGAGGGTCGTCTGTGTTCAGGGAGTAGTTAGCCTTGTCCTTCCTGAACCTGCACAACAAAAGGAAATGACGAAAATCCTGAGTGCCCATAATTACTTTAATTTAATAGACTACCGTGTTGAATGAAAAGCAGCTCACGTGATGACAGGATGCTTGGTGAAGTCTGGGTCACAGGCACCTGTCAGTTTACTGGAAACAGGACACACCTGCAATCAAAACAGCACAGGAAGCTCTGAGAAACTCTATTACTGCAGCTGTTCTTCTTCCAGTTGTGACACCTAAATCTCCACTAGGGGTCACTGTATCACTGTGTCACCACTTCGGACTGAGCTACAACTGTATCACTATGATCACCTAATAAAACAACCCCACTTTCTAACTGTAATGATCAAAATTATCAGTGCTGTAATGATGAACAGGCCACAGTACATCTAATTGATTACATAACATGCACATTCCTGCATATTTGCATTTTAATGCAAACACGAATTGGAAACCTTATTGGTGATTCTGCTTCTTGATGAAAATGGTGATGAGTACGGGTAGTTCCTTACCTCAAAGTGCATGTTTTGCGCCAGCAGTTTTTTGTAGAGGGCTTGGTCTTCCAGGGTTCTGTAACCGTGTCCAACACGTTCCGCTTTCAGCACTTCCACAGCCTACAATATCAGATGGGGGTCACGAGGTAGATGCATAAGGTTATAAACCACATGAAAAAAAAAAATCTTCCATGTAGCGCATGTCAGCAGAATCTGCAGGCTATTTCTAGAGCAGCACTCGCAACTGTTGTGGCATAGCTGAGCTGTCACTTTGAAGGGTGGCTTGCTTAGAGAGTGGCCCCTTCATTTTGGCAGACAAAGTGCAGTGAGACCGTGCTGTGGTTTCAGACAAGAGGAGCTTGAGACACAGCAGCTGAGATGGATACAAACAGTAAAAAATAATCACAGTATATGCATGGATACAGATGTATATGTGTTTGCGTGTATTGTGTGTATTTGTTGTTGTGGAGACAACATTTACTCCTTTGTAATTTTAAGACACTCCCAGTCTGTTCCTTCACCCACTTAAACCCTTAATAGCCAACAACAAACATAAAACTGTTATTGCTTTTGTTGGATCTCTGCCCAGTAGTTTGCCTAGTCATTTCTATTGTTAGTGCGTGACTCCTTTGTTTGTGTAGCTGCCGTTACATGTTCCACCGGGCTGCAAACTGATGACAATTAAGTTCTCAGATGATGCTACCACCCAGTTCAGAAATGTCTCATGTCACTGTTGAGCAGCTTACCTCCTGCACCACAGACGGCGGGCCCACCTCTCCCGCATGAACTGTCCTGTGGATCCCACAGCGCGCTGCTTCCTGTTAACAAAATCAATCATGGACGACATCAGGCATCAAATAGTGCACCTAAACATCTGGCTTTTACATCTGCGCTGCTGCAGCATCTACTGAGGTGCTTTTATCATTTAGACAGGTTTTTGTATATACTTGATTTCTTTTGTTTCAGAGGGAGCGAAGTGTTGCTTTGGCTCTGTGACATAGAATGACACAACAATATCTCAACTGGTTAAACTGTTAAATGAGGAAATTGGTTTTGACTTCTGTTTTCATTTCAACATTCCTAACCTTGGATACAACAAGGTTGGCTTGCTTAATTTGCACGTATATACTGTATCTAGAGGTTATGCCTTTATGAAGATAAATCTCAACATTAGTGTGAACTCTGCTCTGTCAGTTCTGATTCTTGTTAACTGAAGATTTCCATTTCTTCCATCAATATAGATTCAGCTTGACGGGATCTCAGATCCTCTCTACACTATAAAGCATATTTATATGGCTCTTATCAAAACCAGATGTTACACAGTGCTTTACGATGAAAACTCAAACAGTAAATATACACAGAAAATCATATTCTCTACACATCTGTACAACATGATGAGAGTAAACTGTATATTTCTGACGTTACTTAAAAAACCCCAGAATATATTATATTAGAAATTATAGCAGCCTGCATACACACATAATTACCAACTCATGCAGACAAAATTACTTGAATTAAATAAAGTTATATATATAAAAAAAAGAAGCTTTTTGATAAAAATGTGTTTTCATTGAATATTTAAAAGAACAAGCTGATTTTGCCAATCTGACTTAAATTTAATCGAGCATGATTATGGACGAATCATTTGAGTGGTATTGTGGCATAGACAAAATATATGCAACATCTGCAAATACGATACTTGTAAACCATTACGCAACAGCTCTTAATTATTTAGATTTTATGGCCAGTTTATGAATTATTAGCAAACTGTTTGCCTTAAATGACTTTTAACTGGTTGTACTTTAACTTCATTGTGACACAAGTTGGGGCAGTGAGAGTATGCAAGAATTTTTATTGCACACCTTGTACACACGCACGCACGCAGGCACGCACGCACGCTTCATAAAGCATTTTACTGCCCACCTCTACATTATTACTACATTCACACATATTGTTTGGAGGGCACTGCCATTCAAACAACAGCTCTGTGAGTCAGGAGTGTATGGCTGACATTTCATGATGTCACCTAGTGGTTAGTGCTGCCATGGTGACAACCCTTTGGCACTGTTTATTTTGGTTCTCGCAACCAGCATGGATAGCATATCAGAAATGCAAATAACAGTCACAAGTTGATAAGGACGAAAAACTGTTCACCCTATTCATTTTCATATCTGACTGATACATGTAGTGATACATAGGCTAAAATATTATGAACTACCCACAGGCTGTCAACACCATCCATCCTCTATCCATGCAAGTAATTCATTTTAGGTCAGACTCGGCCCCCTTGCAGTGTTGTACTGTATTAACTGATTAATCTACCTCATTCATTACGGTCTGACAGGCAAAATCAATTACTTACTGTGGTATTCTCTGAATTAATCAATAAATGCTGTCTGAAAACCAAATTGGATTTTTCTGAGAAGCTTCAGAGGTTAAGAGGAAAATGGTTTGGGAGTATTATGTTTTACTCCCATACTGTGTTGTTTACAGATAAAGACATTTAAGTCCTCATCTGGCTGAAAAAAAATCAATGTTGATAAGTAAAACTGTCTGTCAGCCACATCACCTGACCTCAAACCTGTTTCAAAAAGACACATCAGCAGGTTAGCAGGCTGACACTGACCCTCAGTACCTTCCTACCAAGACTGAGAAATGGTATCAATGGTAGACAATCAGGTTGGTTAAGCTTATTGAGAGCGTACAACATATTTAAACTAGAGTCTACAGCTGTGCTAGTAAATATAAGCTAATGCTGAGTTTATCATGTTCACCATCTAAGTTAATGTGTTTGCATGCTAACACTGGCTAATTAGCACTCAACACAAACAAACTACATGGGGGACTTGAATATATGCACCAAATGTCACAGTAATCCATCAAATAATTGTTGAGGCACTTAATATAAGAATATACACGTGAAGCTCATAGTAGCAAAATGGAGGGAAAATTAGGATATCACCAAAATCATTAAAACACATCATCTGGGAACCAAGGATGTAAAATAAATTGTGCTAATCTATTTACAAGATATTGAGATATTGTTCAGGTAGATGTGTGAAAAATTTTACCTACTGGTGGCACTAGATAAAAAAAATTAAAAGATGACCAAATTTGGCAGCATTCATCCTCTGGGGACCATGAATGTACCAAATGCCAATCTGTCCAATAGTTGTCAAGATATGTCAGTCTGGACTAAAGTGGTGGACCAGACCAACACTGCCATCTATGCTAGAGTTATCTGAAAAAATCAACTGTCCGTCACAAAGCTGCAGACCAACACTGTTTTTCTTAGCTCATGAAATGTTGATGTTTTAGCTATATATTGTTTTTAAAAGAAAGAACTAATATGTGCAAATATTTGCCTTTTGGCTCCTAGCATGGCTATCGTTTGTAGCATTTCCAAACCATACGGCATCTACAGCCATAAAAACAGAGCCTCAAATTCTTACTAAGGATTCCTGAAAGTTGTTGGTGCGATGAACTGCAGCCATATTCCCATCAGCCTGCAGCCTGTGGGATCACGAGGTGGACTCTGTGACTGTAAAACCTTTTTATAACCTCAAAATTACATCCATCCGCTATCAATAAAAATGATCGCCAATGTACTTTAAAGCCAAGGGAAGCAGTCAACTGATGTATTTACACTGTCTGCTCTTTTCCTCCAGCACACTTTCTTAAACTATATAAGAAATCACCGGCTTTTTCAAAACGCTCCTCAGCTCCTCATGAAGCGGCAGAAGAAGTTGCTGTTTAGCTGATCATGGTATTATTACCATTAATTGCTGTTGATTCAGTAACAGTCATTTCTAACTGCTTTGCATGTGATGGTGTAATTAAAACATAGGAAAGAAGGACACACCGAAGGCCACACCTTTTTAATGTCCCTCGTGCTTTGACAGAGACTGTTTGTGGGTATTATGCTGATGTCTCAAAAAGCTCACCTCGTAGGCCATCCTGTGTCCTGGATAGGCTTCACAGTTGAGTGACTCATCACCTGCCAGATCAATGGCGACCACTCCCTCGTGTCGATATTTCTTACACAGCTCAACGATGTCCATGGACCAGCCTGGACAATTTAAAACAGATATACATTACTACGCAGTTTGGTCCTGACGATTCAAACGCACACATGCAGATGATGTATGGATGTGGATGAAATGTGATGATACATTCTAAGCATCATGCTACGTCCATCTGCATCAATATACAGCTTCGACAAGCACAAGACAACACTAACTATCTAACATGCAGTAGTAACTGTATTGGTCTGGTTGACAGTAACCAGGACTGCATCTTAAAGGAATAGTTTGACATTTTGTGAAATGCGCTTTTTTGATTTTAAATATGAAGCTGCTGCCAGTAGCCCACTATCTTAAATTAGCTTAATGCAGCTGGATCTTGTTAACTATGGACAGAGCCTAGCTGTTTCCCCCTATTTCCAGTCTTTATGCTTAACTAAGCTAACCTGCTTCTGCCAGTAGATTCATTTAAGGTATGAGTGCTCAGTATCAGTAGTCCTTTAATTTGCTGTATCATATCTTGAATTTTAACATGTCATATGCATGTTTTTACATGCAATCTCCCAGATCATGATTATCAAGATTCACATGCATACTAAGCTGCCTAGTGTTTAAACATGAACAAAACAGCTTGTGCAATTTGATATTTTCTTAAAATAGTGCTGTTCTTATCTATAATGACAAAATCAGATATCCTCCATACAGGAAGTCTCTCACATAGAGATGACTAATCCCCTGAGGAATTACAGCATGTTATGTGAAATTATTTGTGCAAAATGGAGATATGAATTGCACTTGGCTTTTGGGTTATATAGGAAACAGCTGCATGAGTGGAGTAGAGCATATTTAAGACAAATCACTACAGTTACTCCTGCTGCTGATACAGCAACAACTCATGTTACTACAGTTACTTTGGTACAGCTTACAGACTGCGCATAGTGAATGGCACAGCTGCTGCTATTGGTATTGCCAATACTACTCCAACTACCACTAATTCTAGGCTACTAATATAGTTTGTATTAATACTGTCCTGTGAAAACCATGTTAGCTTCTCCTGAGCTAAGAAAAGCAGTGCTGGTTTCAGCTTTGTAAAAAAGCATTTTTCAAATAATCCAGTGGTTTTTTTTTTAGCAATACTAATTACGTGGCTATAGGAATGTTGTTGGTCCATCACCTCTCTCCAGACTGAAATGTCTCAGCAGCTACTGGATGGATTGCCATGAAACTGTATGCAGACATTCATATCTTAAAAACTATTGGATGAATTGCAGTGTAATATAGAACAGGCATATTCATGTTCTTCTCAGGATAACTCCTAATGTTAGCATTTAGCTCAAAGCACTACTTTGCCTAATTCCAGCCTCACACAGCCGCAGCATGGCTGTAGGCTCTTAATCCTTAATCAAATTGTTATTTGGCTAAAAAAGAAAAAAAAGAAAAAAAAAGGATAATTTTCTCAACCCATTGTGTTTATGTTTGTTTTAAACTCAAAATTACCAAATTTGGAGATGCATGGATTTCACAGGATATAGCAACAATATGCAACATATGTTATTGTAAGAATATTAAGGGTTTATAAGATGCATGAACTATGAAGTATATTGTGGTTTTATGTGCCCCTGCTCATTATGTAATGAGAATAACTGAGGAAGGGCTTTCAGGAAGGAAGACAGAACAGTAAGGAACCTTATCTCAGAAGGTTGTTTTGGTAGACAGGAGCATGAACAGTTCATTACTTGGCATGTGGCGCATGCAGCATAGAATGGACCTGGCTTTGATATTGAAGGCCCTCTCCCCCTCGCTGAGGCCCTCGTTAACCACGTGCACCACCTCATCTGGGCTCAGGTCACCTCTGAGTAAAGAAAACACAAAGACAATGAAAATATACAATGACCTAAATTAAATGTGTCCTTCCTTGAGAGCAGAACACAGGAATCACCAAAGGCTGCAGATATTCGTATAAACACTTACTCTTTCTGGTCCCATGGAATGGGATCCACTTTAGTGTTAGCCAGAAAATGTGGGCTGTATCTGACCTCGACATAAATCACCCCTTCCTTCGCTTTGTCCTCAAGAAATTCATAGGCTATCCTCTTTATGGCCTCTCTGTCTCCACTGAAACAAAAGAAGAACACAGAATGATTACCCTTTGGCTCTGATAAACATATCTCAGTGATAATAAATAAAACCACGAGTCACTGCTAATCCATTATCTAAACTGTGATGGTTTGGAGATGAGCAATATAAACATTTACACAGTGTAACTGATATAATTATACTGATTTCATTTAGACACCTTCTCCACATCTATGTGCAACATATGTTAATGTGATGGTTGAAATAAAGGCTTCATTAGATTATGATGTATAGAAGTACAGGAAAAAATGTCTACAAGGGATTGTACAAAAATTACTAGAGTGGTTAGTTTGACTTTCTGGGAGAGCAGGAGAGGGTCTTTAAATTCTGGATCTATATTTCATTTCAGCTTTCACTTCTGCCAAATATTTTAAAACAAATAAATATAATAATTAAATGAATATAATAAATGTAAAAAATAAGTATAATAGCCCTGGTGATAATGATGTGTTTGGTCTTAACAATCCTGTCTCTGCATTGGGGCATTAAAATGTGTCATATGATTAAAGTTCAGAGCCAAAACTTGCCATCTTCTTCTACTAATTGTTGAATCCAGATTGAATATTAATATTATTAGTTAATGAATGCACACGTTGTTCAGTCCTGGATCTGAACACATACACTTCACATTATGTCAGTTCTTCTGCAGGTAACAAAATGTTACCAAGATATTGGATCTTTTTTTTGTTCATGCACAGAACCATGTGCATTGAAATCAAATATGCTAATCAGAGCTGCAACAATCAGTCAATTAATTGATTAGACAATCGTCAGAAAATTAATCACTAACTATTGTGATAATGGAGTAATTGTAAAGCAATTTTTCAAGGAAATATGCAAAACATTCTGTTATTCTGTCATCCTCAATGTGTGGAGTTGCAGCTTTTTGTTGTCTTGTGATAGTAAAGCTGAATATCTTTGGGTTTTAGACTGGAGGTTGAACTAAAAAAGCAATATGAAGACATCACCTTGGGCTTCAAAAACCAAACGATTCATCAACAAAATAATTGGCAAATAATCAAAATTATTGTTAGTTGCAGCCCTACGGCTACAGGAAGTCAGGGTGAGGCTGCAACAAAAAAATAGTTCTTTGAAGGTTTTTTTTCTGAAGTGAAATGTAAGATACAGCCCCCCACACACACACACACCCCCACCCCACCCCAGTCATATTAACACAGTCCCTAACCTTGTAGTTAAAACATTTTATAACTAAAACATTTCTGTCTCTTTCCCATTTCCCAGTGAATCCCAGCTTCAGTTCCCTCTTTCCTTTAGACTCAGCAGCACAGTTTCTGCCCCCACATCACGTGACGGAGAACAACACCGCTTCCAGCATTTACACTGAAAATGAATGCTCATCGCACAGATCTGAATGCCTGTTGTTCTCCACCCCACCCCCCCCAACACACACACCGACACATCACCACCAAGCTCATACAACAATTCTGCATGAGCTAAACTCAGCTAGCAAGTTCCCTGTGTTGTTGAAGCTGTAGTGCACACAAGGCTTTCAAGAGCCTTGATACAGAAGGGTCCATTCAGCACAACTGCACGCTGCAGTCCAGCCACTACAGACCGCCATTGTTGAAAGCTTTTACGGCCATTGAGTATCTGAAAGACTGTATTTGGTCTTTTCTATACAGTTCACTGGAGGACTAAATATAAGACAGAATGACACCGGAAAGGCTCCCCAAACAACTTTACTCTCCTTTTTGTGTGGTCTCCAAGGTGACACTTGATCTCAATAATGATGTGTTCCTGTTCTGCATGTCTGGCATTGAAAATGACCCCCCCCCACCAATCGTGCTATATTGCATAATCTCGCTGTGTCTTACATCCCAATACGATTGATCACAAAGTACACTACACACTCTACAACTTTGACCCTCATTGTAAACACTCCTGTGACACTAATGAGGTTGACCATGACTCTTAATCACTCAGATCTTGCTCTTTGCCCTAACTGTCATGTGCTTGGCAAGAAAACACCTTTGGTAATTGTGAAACTACATCATTAAAGGCGACATGTCAGCACTTACGCAACCACATGCATGTACTCAGCGAACTTGCCCAAGAACTTAGTGAGGGTGGCAGGCTCTTCGAGAATGATAACCGATGTCAACTCCTCCACGGTATTTGCTGGCAGAAAGATGCCGCGTCTCCTGGAAGGAAAAAAAGAGGTCAAGTCAAGGACAGTGCTGAAATTTGTACCAGGAATGTGTTTCATCCCCTACTTGACCTGATTTGTTCTGCTCTCTTAAAAGAAACATTGAACAGAGGCCTGTTGTTTATGTGATGTAGTGACGCCTGAGCTACTGACTTGACAGCTGAATTAAATATTGCTATTCCAGGATTTATTTAGCCTATTGGAAAATTATCTTCTGAAAATACACGCACAGATTTTAACTTTAGAGACCACCGGCACTGGCTACAGTGCCGGTGGTTACAGCTGCTCTAATCTATATTTTTGACATTACCAGTGGGTCGCATAACTATTTGTAATGTGAAAGGTGTTATCATGACAAATCCACACCCGACTCTGAAGTCCCCCCTGGGCTCTACGGAGCATTTTAGCCTGTTTTGGTTCACTCTCACCACTCGTTGTTTCCAGATACACAGTGCACACAGTGTAGTATTTAGCAGCCACACATTTCCCTCAGAGGCTGATTTAGACCAAAAACAGAGCTAGAAGGAGAATCATAGACCCAAATGTAGACAGAAAAGACCCGTTGATGTCATATATTACAATTACAGTATTACATGAAATTGACACCTCCCACTATAGTTGCCTCTGCTTGGCACGCAACACATGTGTGTCCGGCGTAACATGTTTGCCATAGCTACTCTAAAAGGTAATATGTCAGTGTTGTGTTTAAAGCATGTTATGCTGCGACCATTTGGCCAAAAAAATCTATTAATATAGGTTTAAAAATTGTTTTTTTTTTCAACATGAACACACAAAAAAAACATTTTTGAAAGATCCTTCAAATGTGGTTATTGAAGAATTACATTGTTATGTAATGATGACAGTGTTTCAAATCACCTGCAGAATTCTAATGAAGTGAAAAGGAAACTAACTTACTTGGCAATATCAAGAATAGTCTGCACCCTGATAGCTCCATCGAGGTGCACATGCAGTTCAACCTGTGGATGATAATATATAATTAATCAGTCAATCGAAACAAGTGAATTTCATAGATATGGATGTTTCCATAGATCTGAGTCTGAGTGTAGTTCAGAAGAGAAGAGCAGAAACATGTCAGATACCAAGTAGTGTTAAAAAGAGAGCAGCAGCAGGAGAGAGAAGTGACTGTGCTGCAGTTCAATGTTCTGGCTGCAGCCCATCATGAATGCAGTACGCGTGACTGGGCAACAAGTGGTGGAAAGGCCAGGGGTGCCAGCGAGGGGTCAAAGAAGAGTAAGTGTTCTGGCTCTCCTTCCATCGCTGAGAGACCTGATTTATCCTTGCAGATGACACCCATAAATCTCTGCTCCTCCTTACAGTTTAGGCCTAAACTATGCTCATTAGTCCAAGTGAGATTCAAATTAGAAGTTCCCTACTGGAGACTTTTAATTCTAATCTCTGGTTGGGAATGATGAAGAAGAAGAAAATGAGCACAGTTATGGAAATCAGCCCTAAATTAAGGCTCCTAATGTGCACTGAAAGAAGCAGCTGAGAACCATGCACTTGATTTTCCCAGCAGCTATTTCAAAGTTTAATCTTTTCTCATAATATCTCATGTTTATTCTTGATTATATTTTACCTTCTTTTTCTGCCTTGTAATTCTACCTTAAAGGCCCTCAAATCTTGTTTTCTGAATCAGCTTCTGACAGCGAGTGATGCAATTCCACATTTTCCTCCCGCTAAACTTTATTTGTATTGGTTTATACCTGTTATAAATTACAGAGAGTAAAGATCAAAAAATGCAGACAAACATGGAAAAATGTATTAGTCCAAAGATAAAAGATAGGGTCAATGAGTCACTTTGGTATCGTTCTTACCAGATTTGTTTATTTCAAATGAGAGATTTCTGTATTTGTGTGTTTCTCTGTGCATCTGTCACTGGGTTGAAGTGACCAGGGCTCAGATGCAGAAATACAGAAGAAAGAAATGCTGCGGTGATGAAATCTGTCCACAAACAGACAGACATAAACACCTGACAATGTACTCAAATCCATCTCAGTGATGTTTCCTGCTTCAGTTCATGTCTCCACAGGGCGAATAAAAATCGTCCCGAGAATCATGCAGTAAACAGAGGTTAAATTAACTGTGATGATTTGTAGAACAAGACTTGGAATAGTAACACCTGCACACAAATGATATTTATATAATTTTGTAATGTTATAGTCTAATTTTATTTACAGAATTGAATTACAGATTCAATGATTATTTTCATGCTGCACTTGTGAAAAACACTGTATTAGAAACACCCTTTCCTATTACAGTCCACAAATACAACAAATAATCTATGAAAACCGGAGCAGAAAACAAAGCTACAACATTATCCTGCAACATAAAGTCAGACAAGCCTCCTGTTGTCTTCTGCCAACCACTCATTCTATAAAACTTCACTGGTGTTTATATTGGACTTACTGGGAACTGTACTGCGAGCTGAAGTGCTGAACTCACTCTGCTGCTCTGCTCCTCGTGTCTGCTGTCTGCAGAGTCACTGCTGCTAAATGCACAACTATTTAAAGCAATATGTATTTTTCTGGATTTAAATTTCTTTAACTCCTTATGTTGTTTTTTTTTTTAACGTTTATTCGTGTAAAATGAGTCAGGCAGGCACTGACTGGCTGGCAGCTGTGGAGGAAGACAGATGTGAGGGAGCTGACAGCCACATAGAAGCGGAGTGGGTCGTGCAGCCTGCTGCACTGGGCCAATCACCACAGCACGGCCACATTTCTCTCTCTCTCTCTCGCTCTCTCTCCCTCCGTTTGTCTGTTTCTCCCTGGTGTTTTATTTTTCTCACATTTTGTGTAGCAGCCTATTGAGAAAAGTCCCGATTCTCCCATCCCGTCATAGCACACTGGAGGAATCATAATGTATATGGATTAAATCACCTTAAAGAAGCTGTTAGAGTGTGAAACTAATCTGTGTATCAGATAGTCAACTACACCCCCCATTCTTGGGCCGTGAAACTGCTTTAAACTTCATGATCTTTGTTTATTTTTCTAACAAGATACCGAAGTCAAGAAGCAAGCTGTTTATACAAAAGAAAAAAACTCATCCAAGAACAGCCTGAGTGGGAAGTAACATTCAAAACAACTTTATCATTAACATTCTTTGGTGAAATGTCCTCAATCAAAAAGCGCACAACAATGTCGAGAGTGTCAAACAATTCACAAGTAAAAGGAAATGTGCAGGATTCTCACAGGAAATATAATTTAATTATTTATTGTTCCTGAATTAATTTATTTGTTGCAATAAAAGCTCAAGTTGGGAATCATATTGTTTAAAAGTCCGAGTTAAAAATGAACATCTTTGATGGAAAAAGAATGACATTAGCCACCAGCTGTCAACAAACCAAATATTTCTGGTGCATTTTGACTAGAGCTGAAACAATTATCAGATGAACCAATTAAGGAATCAACAGAAAATTAATTAGCAACAATTTTGAAGATGAAATGATTTAGTCTTTTTTTGAAAAAAAAAAAAAAATTACCCAACACTTGCTTCAGCTTTCAAATGAGCTTTAAACTCAGGTTTTTCATTATTTTCTGACGTCGGAAAAGATCATTAAATTAAGCAGAAGAAATAATCATCAGATTCATCTACAATGAAAATAATAATAATGAGTTGCAGCCCTAAGACAGTTTCCCAGAATCCCTGGTGAAGTCTTCAGAAGTCGTGTTTTTTCAGAACAGACTAAAACACAAACATGCTCAGTTTACAGTGATATCCAGATGATAGTGATGATTCAGTTTACAACTTTGATATTTTATTAATTCCTCCTATGCATCCAGCTGCAGAAATGTGACGATTTGCTGCCTCTCTATTGGACTTGTATAGATCACTTGGAAACTGAAGGTAATTTTTCACTATGTTCTGATGTTGTGTGAACCAAGGGATTCATTGATTGATAAAGAAAATAACCTGTAATAACCTGTTACTATATTATGAATATACTAGTCAGTTGCAGCACTAGTTATGTCTAACTGTTGATCAGACCTGCTTCCTTATCACCTTGCCTTTATAGAACATAAAAGCATACACATGCTGTACAGCTGTGTCCAGCTGTGTGTGAGTACAAAACATTGAGGTCATATGTTTTCTACTCACAGTAATGTGTATTATTGAGACAGTTTGAATCTGTATGGTTTACATGTGTTTTCTTCTGTTAAAAGCCTGATGTGTCCGGGACACTGGAGCGTCAGAGCTGCTATAGACTGAGAACAGCTGGTTAACCCATCTGCAACGTCAGGAAACCCTGCAGCAGTTCTTTCAGTATACACCACACTTCCTGTGGCACATTGTCGAAACGTATAAGGTAATTTGTCCTAGTTTTAATCTGCATTTCAGCAACCCAGCAGTGTGGTATTGGGCAACAGCCTCTGGTTAACTGATTGATTAAAGATGATTAAAGATGTATGTGAGATAATACCTCACGAACTGTGTTCCTAAGAAGGTGATAAGACCTCAGATGGACACTGTTGCATAATTCTGTGAAGCAATAAAATATAGGACGTTAATATCTGTAATCAGTTTATGCAGTTTCCATCAGTGCACAAGCTTCTTTACTTGTCGATATTTGTCATTCAGTAATGTTCATCTGATGCATCTGAAACAGAACAGAGTTGCACTGAAAGCAGAGTCTGCTCAATCATCTTCAAAATTAAAGCTGAAATGATTACTGATTAATCTCTGCAACTGTTTGTCATTTGATTTCCTTTTAATGCAAAACCTGTTTTGTCTGTTACATGATCCTAAACTGAACGTTTCTGGGTTTTGGACTTGAAAAACAAACAAAAAAAAAAGACATCTGACGAAATCATTTTGAACTCAAGGAGCCCGGAGACAATTTTCACTATTTTATGATATTTTATAAACAAACCAATGTGCTGATTAATCAAGAAAACAGTCTGCACATGAGCTGACAATGAAAATAATAGAAGCAGCTCTTATCAACTGTGCAGATTTTCTGTTTTTCTTTTCTGTCTCTTAGTGTCTCATTAATAGTAAATTGAATATCTCCGGGTTAGTTGGATAAAACAAGACATTCAAAGATGTCTCCTTGGGTTTTAGACACATGTGATGGACCATTCTTACTGTTTTGTACAGACAAACGATTAATCAAGAAATGATGATTGATGATTTAATCTTCAATAAAAGGGATCATTAGTTTCTGCCCTACTTTAGTCAGGTTTAGTTTTTTATGTGTAATATAGCTTATGTTTGTCATTAATTATATTCATCTGATCCGGCTGTAACCCTGAACCCGAAGCTCACTGAGACAGTCTGGTCAATCTAACTAAAAATGTATTGATTAATCAATTAGTCAAAAGTTAATCGCACAACTGAATTGATGTTTCCAGCTTCTCCAATGTGAAGATGCTTTGATCTGTTTGGGTTGTTGAACTGACAATCGGACAAAACAAGACATAAAATAAACCAAATAATTAACCAATTCATTGAGAAAATTATCAGTAGATTAATCAATAATGAAAACATTCCCTCCCAAATCCACTTATTACATAATAACACAGTGTAATAACGCTGTAGCTGTTTTACTGCAACGCCTGTCAGTATATGGAACAGGACGGTGAACATGTGAGTGGTATCAATTCTACTACAGCAAATTAATATTTAATGAGATTATCTCTGCAAGCAGCCACCACTCCCTGAGGTCTCCCCTCACACACACTTCACCCCCCCCCCCCCCCCCCCCCCCTCTCTGTGCTGTATGTCTTTCCATTTCTCTGCCACTGAACCCGTCATTTCCACTCTTCTTATCAGCTCAGACTAGATGTACACGCTCAGGTGCATGCTCAGTCCAAAGGGCGTACATATCATCCCTGAGTTCCCGAGGTTTATATCAAACTATCTGAGAATTAAAGCTACTTTTCAGGCTTTGTTCCCCTCAGTTCTCCCCACCAGTCAACAAAAGAACTACTATTAAGATATCGTGCAAAATAATGTAAAAATAAGACTTTTCTGTGTTGCTATCTCTGTGCCTGAAGCGGGAGAACATCGGTCACATGAATTACAAGTGATTCCCTTCATCCCCCAAGTATGCATTCATGCAGAATCCCTCTGACTACAGAAGCTGTTAAAAAAGCAGGATCCAGGTTAAGCAATCAGTCTACTGTCTGAGTCAAAAGCTAAAGTCATTCATCACAGTGGTGGAGCTTGTGGGATCTTGTGTAAAGACGGGCAGTAACACGTCAAACTGTAAGCAATGGAAATGTTCTTCCTTGTTTTAACAAGGTTACACAAACACAAAGAAAGCAGTAACTGTTTTTTGTTTGTATAAGGTAAGACTTCATGTCTGTCTTTATGAAACCACTCTTCTTTTCCTTCTCCTTGCCACAGGGACTCTTACAGTAGGCTACTTCAACACACAGTCACAACGTGCGAATGTGAGTGAATACGAGCGGGTGAGAGAGCGCGCTCGTCAATAATTCACCACCTTTCCGTTTAAATGATTAATGCTCGTACTACAGCGCTACAGCGCACCGGTTGGTTACGTACCTTCGGCTTGTTGAATACCACTTGTTCAGGAGTGTGCTCGGCCATCGTAGAGGTCCTGCGGCTGCCGGTGAGTCCGCTGGTGCACACAGCGCTGAGGACTGGAGAGGCAATGCTCATCGCTGCCCGTCTGGCCATTATATGCATGGCTCTGGGACACGCCTTTGTTCACGCAAGGGCAAAAAAAAAAAAAAAAAGAAAAGGTAAAAAAAAAAAAAAACAGCACCGCGAAGTGCTCTTAGTGTACAACTAAGAGAGGGGGTGTCTAGTTACACAGAGCGGTGTGCATTAACACTACAGTAGGTAGAAGGATTAACGGCCCTGTATGGCAGCAGCTTTGCACCCATGTGATGAGAGCTTTACCTCCCGGCTAATTAATTATGTCAACCCGCCTTGCGACACAGTGAAAATTGTGCTATCTATGTGAAGTGCTCTTCATATAGGCTACAAACAAATAACAGTCTTTTTACATAGGGAATGTGTTGCAGCACGCCTCTAATTGATTTTTTTTTAAAGGTCATTACTACAGGAATGTGAATACCCTGTCTTCTTATGATATATTCTCTCACAAGCACTAATTCTCCCTTAAGCTTTGCTGTTTTGTAAAAATGCAAACTGAAATATGAAAGTTGTATTTCTTTGAAGATTTTCTGTTTGTGTCCTGATCTGCTCCTTTAGTGACTCCACATGCTTCCTGTTTTATTCTGGTAATCACTTATCTCTTGTGTGTTTGGGCATTTTACTTCCTGTCTGTGTTTTTTTCTTGCCTGTGTGATTACTTGTTATAGCCATAAGCAGTGTCACCTGACCGCTATTACTCTTGGCTCCCTTGTGTATTTACGTCTCTAGTCCCCTCAGTCTTTGTCAGTGTGTTAAGTTGTTTTGGTGTGGTTTGTACGTGGGTGTCTCAGCCTTTTCTCTTGTGTTTTGTCTCCTGTTCTCTTGGTGTGTATGTGGTGTTTTTGACTTCGTTGCTACCAATCCAACTGAAGACTTAGGTTTTTTTGTTCTTAAGATTTGCTCTGTTCTTTGTTTTTTAGTTCCTGTGTTTCCTAGTGTCCTTCACCTGGTTTTTGGCTTCTCTTTTATCCCTGCAATTTGTTGTAACTAAAGTAACTCCCCCTCACCTACCTGCTTGCCAGTCTGCATTTGGGTCCTCCATCCTGTTTTCCATCCAGCATATTAAAAGATTTCTGAGGAGGAACTAAATTAAGTGATACACTGCATTCAGGGATTTAACATGTGGGCCTACAACCTGCATATCTCTAACACCGAACAGAAAGAATTGGTTCGGGTGTTGATTCAAAATGGTATCGTGACCGGGGAAGATTTATGGCCAATTCTGCTTCAGACCCTGTTTTGCTTGAGCCTTCAACCTCAACACCCTGTCCAGCCATACGCTAGTCTCCCAGTCTGCTGAATCTCAGTCGACTAACCTCAGGCCTGCTCTCCTCCAGCTTGCACTCCAGCTGATTCGGCTCAGGTTCATGAGCCTGCTGCCCTCTACTCCACCATCTGTCTGATCCTTTTCCCGGGCCAACTAGCTTTCTGACCAGTTCCTGACACTGAAGACCCGAAGCAGTCCCCGTTTTTGGGAATCGCTTGGCTATTGCTCTCAGATCTCTAGGGGTTGGACTCCCTGGAAGGAAGCGTGGGTTACAGAGACATTGTTCCCTCAAGTGCCCCTGAGCCCCAGCTGTCCAGCTATGCAGAGCCTTTGCTGCCCAGCAAAACGACTGACCTCCAGCCAGACCACAAATCAGACCCTGAGGAGGCTGTTCCTGCTAATGTTATGTCTGTTACCGGGTCAGGGGTCCCAGCCAACATCTTGTCTGTTCCTGAGCCTGTTCTTCGGTTGGTGGTTCTGGCCAATGACTCATCTGTCCCTCCAGTGAGGGTCCTGGCTAAGGTTCTGTCTGTTCCTGTGTCTGCGGCCCTGGTCAACACCACATTTGCTCCTTAGTCAGCTGTCCTACCCAACACTGCCTCTGTTCCAGAGTCAGGGGTCTCAGCCAACATCACCTCTGTTCTCCCATTGGTGATCAGCTCCTGATTTCCTTTCAACTGTTCCTTCTGACCTGCACCAGAGGACTCAACCAACAGTTGAGTCCTCTGGTGCCGACTGTCGCTCCAGATCTCCAGTCTATTTGCTAACGGTCTTGCCTACAGCACCAGTCTCACATATATTGCCAGCCTTAGAGTCATCCTCCAGAGAGGCTCTGTCTGTCTGGTCATCTTCCAGCTTTTCTATCTGAGGGGAACAGCCTCCGCCAACACCCTCCTGCTCGATCTCATGAGGTGATCCATCATTGTCCTCCTGCTATATAGGCTTCCAGAGAGGACCTGCCTTTGGTGTCCTGATCCAGGGAGATCCTGTCTTCGCCGTTGGCCTTCAGGGAGATCCTGCCTTCAACCTTGCCCTCTAATTGAGTATTTGCTTAGTCGTTAAGAAAAAAAGTGTTTGGCATAACAATGATTACGGTCATTTTCGTATTTTGTCACCTTTATCAAATATGTAAGTTGAGTTTGGTGCAAAGTGAAGGATTAACACTTAATACTTCTCTATATATCTGATTTTAATATTATTTTACAGGGAAAAGGCAAATGTTGCTGTCTGTGGGACCCGAGAAATGAGGAAGTAAAACCAATAAAACAATGACATTGTGTTTTGATAATAATACTCATATTTATATATATAAAAAGGCTGATTCCACAGTGCTGAAATCAGTCTTAACAGCTGTTAACAGTTAAAATTTCATACTTATATGCTTAGGCTCATAAGGCTTTAATAAGCAATTTTGAGAGTTTGTTGCACGTACTGCAATCACATGAGAAAAGAGAGAAAACACATCACAAGGTTAAGATTCCTCATTCAGTTTTTACTGTGATGAAGTAGAGCAGCTTTTGACCCACGAGACCAAAAATACATCAACAAATGGAAAGTGGGAAACCAGGTAATTACTATTTGGGCAAACAGCTGTTAAACGGTTAAATGCAGATTTATGGTTTTAACCACCAATATCCTCTTGTGACCCCATCAACATCATTGCATTGTTATGTGTGTGTGACTTCTACTTCCACTTCCATCAAATAGATTTCCTTTCTCTGCATGATTTCTTTCCCGCTTTGAAACACTGAAAAAACTGCTGCAGTGACTTTTTCAGTCATGTCACGTGCTTGTGCAGAGCTTTGAGATATTTTAAGCCTTTTTGCAACATCCCAATCTCTCTTCAAAGTCAAAAGTCTTTTTCTTAAATGATTGGTTTGCCCAAGTCACGAGTAAAATGTTATTGGGACATCTAGTCATATTGATGGTGCCAACTCAGTACACTTGGCAGAGTAGAATTTCACCTGTCGTGCTCAAAGCTTGAAAATCAGGTTTGAACAGCAAAATGTAGTAACAAATAAAATGTCCTGGTTACTGAGGTTAGTCTACTGCTTCTGTGCAGATTTCACTGAACAGCTTTCCAGTGAAGAAACGCATCTGGTGCAAACTTCATCAAGACTGAACCTGAACAGAGGTTGCTTTGCCATTGGATCATATGGTGTCTTTGTCAGTTAGCACCACCTTGTGGTTGTAGCTCACAGGACACCTGTAGTGTTTTATCAACATAAAATGAATGCATTTGGATTCACACACAAAGTGGTAATTGAAAATAACTGCACAAATAAGTATGGACTATGTACTCGTTAGTGTTTAAGCAATCCGTCATTGGTTTTCCTAATAACATTAGCAAAGATAAGGGAGACTGTGCAATGATTGACTCTTGACATAAATCTTTGTCTCATCAGAGACCATTGGTTTCACTTTTGGTTACGGTTTTATTCAGAGATAACCCAAAGACTTTGTTGTCATATTTGAAAAATGGTGTGGCCAAAGTTGTTAAACTATAAATGCGTCGTTTAGAAGAAGTCTTTTCTACATTCATAAATGTGTGATATTTTATTCAAATATTGTGCAACCGGCTATTAAATTAACTCCAAATATTTTCAGTTTTTACAACTACTGAGTTTTACTGTCCACATGTTTTTGAAAAGAGAGAAAAAAACACACGACAAGGTCAAGATTCCCCATTCAGTTCATATTGTGCTGACAAAAAGAAAAAGGGGAAATGATTTAGAGACGTTAAAGGAATAGAGGAAAAAAGATAAAATGTGTTGATTAGTGAGCTTTAGAGACTTTGACAGAGCCAACCTGTTTTCAGTATTTATGCTAAGCTAAGATAACTATACAGACACGAGAGTAGTATCAATCATAAATAATAAGCATATTTCCCCAAATTATTCTTCTAAGATTAAACCCAACTGTATTGGACAGATCACTTGCTTGCAATAACGACATTGGCAGGGCAAGCTGAGTATTATTGAGTATTACAGACACCCACATGTGAGTGATGAAAATCTTATTCCAAAACCATGGGCATTAATATGCTGTCGCAACAGATGCCACTCTTCTGGGAAGACTTTCCATAACAATGGATCCTGGCTGCAGTGACTTTTTCCCTTTCAGCCACAAGAGCGGCTCGAGCACCGGCGCTGGGTGATAAGGTCTGGCTCAGAGTCAATGTTCCAATTCATCCTAAAAGTGTTGATTGGGGGTGAGGTTAGAGCTCTGTGCAGGCCAGTCAACTTCTCCCATGACTCAGAAAACCTTTTCTTTATGGACTTCATGTGCAGGGCCTTTGTCACATTTTAAAATAGTAAAGGGACTTCCCTAAACTGTTGGAAGCACACTAAATATCTCATGAATATTATGTTGTAAATATAAATATATGCTGTAGCGTTAAATGAATAGTTCCACAATATGCATATTAGCATTCTTGCTAACACTTAAGTGAGAAGAGCAATGCATTTTTTACACCCGTAAGCTCAGTTTGGAGGGACATCAAGCAGCCAGTTATCTTAGCTCTGCATAAAGACTAGAACAGGGGACATGGCACCTCTAAAGCTCCTTAATTAACTCGCTATATTTTGTTTGTTTAATGTGTAAAATTATACGTTGTGGTTTTACAGTGGGTTTTGTGTGGGACCATGAAGCAGACCATACCATTTTGCCATGGAGAAAAAGCCAACGCACCTGAATGTTGTTGTACAGTTTGCTCTGCTCCGGTCGAACTA